ATCTGTGAACCATAGCTGTGTCTTCCCTCATAGTATCCAGAATACAGTATTTTTCCAAATGCTGCTTAATCCATTTGTTCCTCATTATACATATGAAGCCCCCATATGAAGTCCTGCCATTGATCCATTTAGCTCACAGCTATACTCACTTACAGGCAGTGGCTATTCAAAGCTCCAAAAGCCAAGATGGAATAGTCATCTTTCAGATGTTGCTGGATCACAACTCCTATCATTTCTGGAAAGCAACAGGTGGCCTGGCCTTCTTAGTCCTCTTGACTGAGATAATTTCAGGAACTGAATATGAGACTTTTGAGGGAGAATAAGAATAAGAAGCCTTAGCAAATACAATAAGAATAACATTAACTAGTAGTCAAAATATTACTAGTCAAGATATTACTGGCACCAGTGGCAACTAGTCAAGATATTATGTCTAACATCAAGGTTATTATGCTTTGGAATATCAGTTACTGGGGTAGCTGAGCAAAAGGGTAGTAATATACTTATGGTTTCTTAGAGGGGTCTGATTAGCCACTGTATGGTGTAGATTTCTGGTGTGAACATTTTCTGGCTCTAGATGTTGAAGTGGTATACTGCCTATGACTGATCGAAGTTGTAGTCCAGCGTTATCTGGAGGGCCACAGACAGCGAACCCTACAATATGTTTTTACAAAAGATTTTACTTTCTTGGGCTCCATGTAGTGACAGCAGCCATGAAATTAAAAGACACCTGCTTCTTGGGAGGAAAGCAATGAGAAACCTAGACAGCATCTTAAAAAGCAGAGACATCACCTTGCTGACAAAGGTCCACATAGCCAAAGCTACGTTTTTTTCAGTAGCGATGTATGGAAGTGAGAGCTGGACCATAAAAAAGGCTGACTGCTGAAGAATTGATGCTTTGGAATTGTGGTGCTGGAGGAGACTCTTGAGAGTCCCCTGGACTGCAAAGAGAACAAATCTATCCATTTTAAAGGAAATCAACCCTGAGTGCTCACTGGAAGGACAGATCCTGAAGCTGAGCCTCCAATCCTTTGGCCATCGCATGAGAAGAGAAGACTCCCTGGAAAAGACCCAGATGTTGGGAAAGTGTGAAGGCAAGGGACCTAACAGAAGCAGTAGACATCAAGAAGAGGTGGCAAGAATACACAGAGGAATTATACCAGAAAGATCTGGAAGAGAAGACTCCCTGGAAAAGACCCTGATGTTGGGGAAGTGTTAAGGCAAGAGGAGAAAGGGACGTCAGAGGACGAGATGGTTGGACAGTGTCATCAAAGCTATCAACATGAATTTGACCGAACTCTGGGAGGCAGTGGAAGACAGGAGGGCCTGGCGTGCTCTGGTCCACAGGGTCACAAAGAGTCGGACATGACTTAACGACTAAACAAAAACAACAACAATATGTTTCTGCCAATACAGACAGTTTGATGCATTTCTGTGCTTTATGCTCCAAATCGGAGCCCTTTGCACTGTGCAGAACAAAAGAGTGAACTACATCTTTTAAACATTATTTCTTTTTTTCTCCATGGACAATTCTCTGTATGTTTATGGAATATGAATGAATGTGTGAGAGTAAGCATAGAGGCCATCACATTTATCAGGGACTATTTTACTATAAAAATGTTCCAGTTTTGCAGAGACCTGCTTCTGCTGAGTCCCTCCATCTGGTAGCTTAACTTTACCCCAAATCTCTGACCTCAGAGGTGTCACAGAGTTACTTATAGTAAGAATTAATTTTAAATGGTGAAACAAAAAAATAGCAATCCACATGCAATGGATTAAAAGAACTTTCAGCAAAGTAAAAACCAATAAAAGTAGAAAACCAGCTCAAAAGAGAACCAGAGCAATGTCCACCCTTATTACAGAGTTCATGACAATTTTTCACCTTCTGCTTAAAAGTGCCAAGAAATGGATCAAGTAACATTTTCCACTGTAAGAGTCTGCAGAGCTGGGGTAACACCCCTGAAATGGCTCTGTCACATACAGTACTCCCATCTTTTATAGTTCACAGGGTAAAGAAATGCACAAAAGAGTTTTTTGTCAGTGATCTCAGCTTGTAGGTAGGTTCAGGTGGGTGGAGATACTACTTCAAATAGTGTGGACTGAAACTATATAAATGTTTATAGGTTAAAAGTTCTTAGTAATCCTATAAACACTGAGAGTCAGTGCATCTGACACAACACCAGTTTAACTGAATTGTAAAACGTGGCCCCTGTCAGCAGTCTTCCTGTCACGTTCTCCATTAATTCTAGTTTCCTCATGCTGTTTTACTAAAAGCCAGTGTGGTGGAAAGTGTCAAACTAGGACGCAGAAGACCTAACTTCAAATCCCCCCTCAACCATGGATACTCACTGGATGGGTGGGTGTGGCAGTGGTAAAGCTCTCCTTGAAATCTTGCATATGTTGAAAACCCCATTAGAGTTACTATTAGTTGGAACTGACTTGACATCACATAACAACAACATGCTGTTTGGGATAGTCATATGATTGCATGCTTAGCCTGCAGCAAGCTTGTTGAGATGTTGTGGCTTCCCCAGAGAGATCCCCAGAAAGGGCTACTATAAAGTCAGATAAAAAGCCACATGTGCCATTCTCCCATCTCTGCATGTGATTGCATTGGAAAATACGTCACAATTTATTCTGAAATTGGCAGAGGTAAATTTGGAATATTTTCAATTATCACATGACATAAAAATCCATGCAAATCAGCTTGTCCTTTTCTTCCTTCCAATCTCCACATTTCCCCCCCTGGCATCGGAGGTTTCTACTTTTTCTAACTACACTTGAAATCGTGTTCTGCCTGTGCAGTTATTTGTTTCATTCTACAAAAGAACCGTAGGCGTGATTTTGTGTGGTTTTCTGGTGATATAGTAACCTAGCCCATGATGTTTTAGAATAGCGGGAGCATCCAACCCCATGATCTTTCTTGCTAGTTGGCCCAGATTATTTTCCCCCCAAAATCATCAAAGCTAGTGCTAGATCACCTTTTCACTGTGTTGCCACATTAGTTAAACAACAGATCACCTCTACATATACAAAAGGAAGTTAGAAGTTGATATGAAATCAAAACAATTCTGACAAACTCTAGCAGTCTACAGTGTTTCCATGGTATGTATCTCTGTGTTTGTATGTCCATGGAGAACTTTGGAAAACTGACTCTTTCCCCCTACTATCCTTTAAACAACGCCAGTGGCTTGATGACAGACAAGAGGAGAGCCAGGGATTGGCAGGAGGGTGGTATTAAAGGAAGGGGGACTGTGGGCATGGATTGAACTGCATCAGATTGATGGGCCAGTGTGGTCACTGGCATCGAAACAACCTGGGAGGGTCACCTAAACCAAATGCAGTCACAAAAGAGACCTCAAATCAAGCCAGTGTCATCACATCCTCTGTCTTATGACTTAGGTTTGATTGTATATTCCTAGTTAGCAACACTGCAGTGGGCTGGCTGATTGTGAATGCTGCAGATCCAGCTTCACCGGCCTTTTTTAACTGATCCCTCCATATATTCTAATAAAGAGTGTATTCATTTTACATTTATTATATAAAAATGACCACACTCTTTAATGGAATACCTGGAGGGATTGGTTCAGTCTTTGACTGTTACAGTATGTATTCCTGAATAGCAAATATTTATATGTGAGAAAGTAGCTATTTCTAATAGCAGACCTCTAACAATGTCTTCACTGTTTTACAGTTTCACCTGGACCTCCTCCCACATAGACAGAAATATTCTCTTGTACTTGACCGGGCAGCATGTGGAGATGTTTGATATTGAGTTCCGTGAGCTCTATGCCATTTCAGAGGAGATCAGCCTCTATAAGGAGCTGAACATCCCATGTCCTTTCCGTCAAGGTATTGGGAAACTAGGATTTTCCTCCTCCACTGTGGCAAGGAAGGCCATCAATCCAAAATATGGACTAGTTGTGGGGGTTCCCCCAGGGGAAATGATGCGCTGGGCCTCCCGCCAGAGGCAGGAGTCACAAGGGATACAAGAAGGAAGAGAAGAAGAAAGTGAGTCAAATAAGCGACTGCATGCATTTCTGAATGACCTTGTAACTGTGGAGCAGGTGCTTCCAAATATTGAGCCCCCACTTGAGGACCTGAATAGAGCAAACTGGAGTCCCCAGAAGTTATTTTCTCGTTTCCATCTGGACCTGAGATCTAAATCCAAATCCAGAGAGTCTGTCCGGGACCTCAGGAAGGATGACATTGCCAATGGGGAGGCAGGTTCCAAACAAGGCAAGCGGTTTGGCAGTGGACTTTTCAGGAGGTCGAAGCGCCCATCACCGTTGAATGCTGACACCAACTCTGTTACCAGTGAGACTGCTGAAGACTTTGTGATTGTAAAGGTACCAAAGGAAACCCAGACCAGCTTCCACTCTGTTAGTATACGTAGTAGTGGAGGCAATTCAGGTAAATTTCCTTTTCTTTTTTCCATTCTGTGAATAGACCTAACCTCTCCTCCTGAAATCTCCTCGGATGATTCAGGCTGGAACTCAACAACTATCTTAGGAGTCTTTTCTACAACAGCTAAATGGCTGTAATGTGTCCGTGGTACAAACTGGGAGATCTCTTGGTCTGGGGGTTATGTCAAAGTCTGGTGTTTTATCTGAGGCCTTCTCAACCAGAGGTATCCTTCTCTAATTTGCACAAAGAGAGTCTCCAGTGAGTCCTACAGAGGTAGTCGCAGCATGGATGTCAGGCCCATCTCCCTACAGGATCTCCCCCCCTCCCTTCCTCCCTGTCCTCATTAGTTCTCCAGTTTACCTCTCTTCCCTCTTCCCTGCTCTCTTAAAAATGGTTTCACTCTCACTCAGGAGTTGACATCCTGGCTCTTGAGCTACCCTCTCTCTTTCAAGGCCCTTGTGTTCCTTCTTTTAATGTTCCCTCAAGAAAGAGGGTTTTTCTATGGAATTGATGGTCACATTGCCGTTCAACCTTTAGGGACTTTTAGTCACACTAACTCCCCTGTCCAGAGTTCTTCTTTAATCATCCATTCCCAGCCTTTGGATAACTCTGGTTCCTTCTCCTTCTCTTCCTCAGCAACACAAGTTTCTTCCTCTATTCTCTCGTCTCTATAACTTCTCTGTTGGCTTCCTTTATATCTCTCCCTTTCTCTGACTCCTCCTTCTCCATCCATTGTTCTATGACCGGGCTGTCGGGGTTCCAGGGATTTCCCACCCATTCTTCACCAGTGTCTACGGGGTGAGCTTGACATCTTGAATCCCTCACTTTCAAGGGGAAAGGGGGACAGCTTGCTGACAGGAGGTTCCTCCTCCCTGTCCCTCTTCTCACACGTTTCAGAAATGCAAAATGTTTTAATATGTTTTTAAAACTACCTATAACTGCAAATTCAGACACTTCAGCACCTTTGTTTCACAGCAGAGAGATAAAATATGTATCTTTTCTAACTTTTTGTTAGACCAAAGAGCATGTAGCAACCTCTAGTGACAAAAGAAGGATATAGCAGAGACTATACCTATTTGTCTTACCTTTTCTGAAGATGAAAATAAGCACAGCCTGCATTTGATTTATGTCAGTTAATTGTTGCCACTTTCTGTTCTGAAACAATTCCCTATTCCTTTACAGGTATCTAGTCCAAAGTGAGAGGAAAGTTTTCTGAGTGCAGAAAATTGTCATTATCTTTAGTGAAAATGATTGTTCTCATATTTATTTCCCTGTAATTAAAGCTTTAAAATAGCTGCTCATCACAGATGCCTAGTAACCATGTTGACACAAATTCAACATAACTGCTTCATCCAGATCCTTGTTATCCAGAGTATTTGAAAGCAGATTTTTGACTGCTAAATAAAACATAATTTTGGAGCATCAATTGCAAGGTATCATTTACATCAGAGATCCTTGTGGCATCTTAAAAGCCATGGCCAGAATTCAGCTGACTGATGTTCCACTAACTTTGCTCCAGTCCATTTGTTTTGCAGAGAGATTGATAAAGTCAACAGGGTTTCTGCTTGCATGAAAAGGTCCAGGGTATCTCCTGGTGCATTCTCTCTAAAAAACAACTTTACAACAATCCTTTGCATAAGCAGAGGCAACAAATATGATTCTGTTCTGATGCAATTACTGTAACGTGAACCTCGCGGACCACAGTCAGCCATATCCAATGCCACAGCCCACAAAAACCATGGCATAATAAAGATTTTAGTCTTCAGATTCCTCTTCAGCTGAGAAAGGATTTCCCCCCCAGATTTGTTGCATCGGACTAATAAACCCATCCACGCCCAGAAAGACCATTGTTTAGTGATCTTAGAGGGGCTATTCAAGCACAAGGTTACATTCTATAAAGACGTTGATTGGAGAGCACAGAACTATGCTTTTATACAATTTCTACCCAGGAACATCAGGTACTGCCACATCAGATCTGACTACTTGTCCATCAAGTCTCTTGTTGTCTACTCTGGTTGGCAAAGGTCTCTCCCGCCACCTACTCAGACTATCTTCTCTGAAGATAGTTGGTTCCTTATAACTGGATGTATCAAGAACCAAACGTGGGACATTTTATGTGTAAAATAGGTGCTCTAGAAACATTAACGATGGCCCCTTCCCACCACTGGAATTCTCAACAACAGCATTGCAACATGTTTAGCTAGACTATACATTATGTCTGTTACTGTCTATTTGGCACCACTGGAATTCTCAACAACAGCATTGCGACATATTTAGCTAGACTATACGTTATGTCTGTTACTGTCTATTTGGTGTACTGTATGTGAAATGTGAATTCCCAGTGTGGTGTAGTGGATCTGCCTTGGGTCCTTTTGAGGAGAAAGGTAGGATAAAAATATTCTAAACAAACAAACAAACAAACAAACAAGAGTGATGCTCTGGATAATAGGGTGCGAATCCACACTTGGCCAAGGAAACTCACTGGGGGAGTGGATCTGGTAAAACCACTCCTTAATTATCTCACTTACCTTGAAAGCCCTATTAGGGTCACTGTAAGTCAGTTCCAACTTGATGGCATAGAACACACACACAAATTTAATTTAGAAAGAAAATATGTATTTGAAATCCCTGCAGAACTGGGGGAGATGAGGCTTGAGGGAGTATTATTCAGAGGTGGAAAGTAGCTAGTAAGGAAAGGATTCTACTGGCTACTTCACTGCTCCAAATAACTTCTGACCCCAACATCTGTTACATTAAGCGGCCGTTTCATTGCCTAATGGCAGGATCAGCCTGTGTGCCCTAATCCTGATAATTTTACTTTGAACGACATGTATTTTTTTTCCTAATATTTAAACAATGAACTTAAATATTAGTTACATGAACCTCTGGGGTGTGCACAGTTCTATAAAAGTATTATTAATTATATAGTGTCTCGAGGGCATGTACAATTCTTGTTAATATGTTAAAACATCTTTTTGTGTGCCTGATGTGAAATCTGTAAATTAATTAGAAGTGAGCAGTCCAAACTGTTATGAGGGAGTCTCATCCTTGGAAGCGTTTCTAGAATTTGCTCTCATGACTGTGTGAGTGTGTGGTATGATTTGCAAAAACAAAAAATGAGAATCTTAAATAGCAAAGCTAAATGTTAATTTTTTATTCTTAGAAATGTTTGACTGAAATGTTCTATTAAACGTTTTTTATTTGTTTTTATGTTTTACGATAGGTAAGATGAGTCCAAGCTCTGTTTCAGGAGAAAAAAACAAACAGTCAGTCTGTGTGATCTCATGACTGAAGAACAACCACAATGGCTAGAAAACTTAGATGTCAAGGAGGCATCTACGGGAATATGCAGCTGTGGGCTCCTTCCAAACCTGCTGTTTGACTTTCTTGCAATGGTCTGTATACCAACCACCGAAGTATGCAAGATAATGGCGACACCTTTATGTGTTGGATTAAATCTATGGGAGATTCTTGTGTGAAGAGAAAGCAGCAAGAATTAATAAAAACGATAACTGGATTTTATAGTTTAAATCTGACATTCATGCAGGAGAGTATTCCACTTTTTTGTGGTGTTATTTAAGTTTGTATGGCTACAAACTTAAAAGAACATTGTTACATCATTGATTATTATACTTTTCTTTGTTGGAAATTTAAATAAAAAATGAAAAGGTAGGCTCCAGAGAAGATAGTCAAACATGGTGATTTTATTTGTTTAGGGTACTCAAGCACCTCCACTCTTCCATCCCTTTAAAATTTACTAGAATTTTTGTACCCTTCTTCATCCTTTCCAATAACCTTAATATGACTTGCCAACTGGTGGCATAGGTGCTAGTAGTGATATAATCAATGGGGTGGTGGTGGTAATGCGGCACATCTTGACAGAAGAGAAGATGGTCTCATTTTCCAGGTTTGAGGAAAAGCTGGTTGGAGGAATTCTGTATTTGTTAGCTACTCCTGTTCAGTGATATACTATAGGGTTTTTGTGCAATGGGAAAAAGAGACTATGAAATCAGTATACTAGTCTTTCTCCTTATCCCATGTAAAGCCTGACTTCCAAGGAAATATTATGCACCAGAATGATTGTTTGGATGAAAGCAAGAACTGTAATATCAGGAAACATCTATGAAGATGACATGTGGAAAGGGGCAACTGAAATTATCCAAAGACTGGAGCAACTTCTGCACGAGGAAAGATCACAGTGTTTGAGCCTTTTTAACTTTGAAAAAGGAAAAGTGAAAGGTGAGGGACGTCATGACAAAACTATGCATGGTGTGGAGAAAATGAATAGGAGTTTGTTTTCTCATAATACTATAACTTGAGTGTTCAATGAAATGGAAAGAAATTCAGGCCATGAAGCAGAATTTGTCACCCCATGATGTAGGGATGGGGCCATCTTGCACAGCTTTAAAAAGGAGTTGGACAAAGAATCAGTATGGTGTTGTGTACAGTGTCAACTATAACTCCAGAGATCGGGATTCAGATATGAGAATACTCACTTGGGGTTGCTATAGTAAATCACTCCATGAATGTCTCCTACACCCCAAAGGCATGATTAGGGTTGCTATCAGTAGAACTGACTGGATGGCAAGTAACAACAATAATGGGATGATCAATAGCTACTAGGTATGATGGATATATATTTGCTCCAGGTACTAGGGTCAGTATGGTTGGCCCTAGTACCTGTGTTAAGAAAATGAGCAAGAAAGTGCTGTTGCATTTTTGCCTGCATGGAGACTTCTGACATTCATTTGCTTGGCGGGATTTTGGACTAAACGGACCTTTTGTCTGATTCAGTAAAGCTTTTCTAGCATTCTTCATACACAGTAATTTGGAAAGATGCAATTATAGACTTACAGGTACAATAACACAAGATGGCTTTTATAAAGAATATTTTCCATTTTGAAAGAGGTAATGGCGCTAATGTATTACAGCAAAAGCATCAAAGACTGCTGTGGCATCTTAAAGACTGATGCATTTATTCTAGCATGATCATCCGTGAATTGTAGCCCACTTCATCATATGCAGGGAATATTATCAAATATTATGGGTGAATACAGAGTACATGTTAGGGATAGGATGATAGTGAGATCAAAGGGAAATTTGGCACAGAAAATACGATGAGGGTGACAATCACATTATTAATACTGAGCATTTACCATAATTGGCAACAGTTTATTGAACAGTCAGTATTAATAACCTTATCATCACTGTAAATGTTTTCTTCATTTTATTTCTACCTGGTGTCGCTGTCTACAGTCTCATCCCCAACTGTGTATATAATGAAATTTTCGATAATGCTTCATGCATCTGAAGTGTTATCCAACTTACACAGAGGCTCATGTTATAAAGAATTTGTTAATCTTTAAAGAGCCACAGATTTTTTTATTATTACATTTAACCTTTTCTCTTCTATGATTATCCTTCTCCAGATGCTTTATGATTCCTAATGTCAAATGACAGAAGTGTCTAATCCAGTTTCTGACTACACAGCTAGAAATACGAAAGTTATCAAAGCAAAAATCCAGCTGAGATTGGTGCTACTTTATGCAAGACTGCAGGATTTATATAAGGACATTTATTTTCCAGACAGCTATGCTGAAGTTCAAATTACAGCTTTACACTGTCTTAAACTGTAACTTCCTGCGTATAGCCTTACCAAAGTTTGTCTGCCTCTTTGTGTCCCTTCTTTCTGTTGCAACATACTAATCAGCAGAGAGAGCAGAGTTAGTTCTACTCAGCATAGATTCTGACCTAAGTAAAACAACCAAGATAAAAAGTCACATACATTTTGCTTCTCATTTGTTTGTAGTGCTGGATTTTATACCAAGGGAATTTCTATCAATTTTTTACAATTTTGAGTTGCTCTGTGTAGGGGTCATGCCTTCGCCAATCATCTCTTAATTAATACTATTTAACATTGATTTTAACATCTACTTCTGCTTCATTGATTATGCAAAAGCCTTTGACTGTGTGGACCACAACAAACGACGGCAAGTCCTTAAAGAAATGGGAGTGCCTGACCACCTTATCTACCTCCTTGGACAGGAAGCAAGAGTTAGAACTGCATATGGAACAACTGATTGGTTCAAAATTGGGAAAGGAGTCTCCCTGCTTATTTATCTTATATGCAGAATACATTATGCGAAAGGCTGGACTGGAGGAATCCCAAACCGGAATTAAGATTGCCAGAAGAAATATCAACAACCTCAGATATGCAAATGATATCACTCTGATGGCAGAAAGTGAGGAGGAATTAAAGAACCTCTTAATGAGGGTGAAAGAGGAGAGCACAAAAATGGTCTGAAGCTCAACATCAAAAAAAAACAACCTAAGATCATGGGCACTGGTCCCATCACCACCTGGCAAATAGAAGGGGATGATATGGAGACAGTGACAGATTTTACTTTCTTGGGCTCCATGATCACTGCAGATGGTGACAGCAGCCACGAAATTAAAATACGGCTTCTTCTTGGGAAGAAAGTGTTGACAAATCTAGACAACATCTTAAAAACCTTGCTGACAAAGCTTCACATAGTCAAAGCTATGTTTTTTCCAGTAGCGATGTATGCAAGTGAGAGCTGGACCATAAAGAAGGCTGATTGTGGAAGTATTGATGCTTTTGAATTGTGGTGCTGGGGGAGATTCTTGAGAGTCCCTTGAACCGCAAGGAGATCAAACGTATCCATTCTAAAGGAAATCAACCCTGAGTGCTCACAGGAAGGACAGATCCTGAAGCTGAGCCTCCAATCCTTTGGCCATCTCCCTGGAAAAGACCCTGATGTTGGGAAAGTGTGAAGGCAAGAGGAGAAGGGGACGACAGAGGACGAGATGATTGGACAGTATCATTGAAGCTACCAACATGAATTTTACCAAATCTGGGAGTCAGTGGAAGACAGGAGGACCTGGCGTGCTCTGGTCCATGGGGTCACAAGGAGTCAGACACAACAACTAAACAACAACATTGATTTCATTTTTGCGGTATGCTGGTGTGTACTGTACTTTGCCTGTAAGTTGTTTGCTGCACTGAATTAACCATTGCTGTTGGAATGATGTATTATGTTGGATTCCATGGAGATAAGCAAGATATAAAAGCCGGAATAGCATTAACCTGTATTGAGAGGCAGCATTCAGTCAGTGCTGGGTTATGTATGGAATATGTTTGAGAGGTTGTTATCCTTTGAGAACTTATAAACATGACTGGCATTGCAAGAGCCACAGTCTCTTGTTTTAATTCTGCTGAACACAGACAGTGCACTTACTTGGAAATCATCTTAATCTCATAAAAATAACACTCTCTCAATTTGGTAGGAGCAGTACACAGACCTGCATACACAGGACAATAAATATATCTGAGTAAATGTATATTTAAACCACAATTTATTTTCACAAAGGAATTATAAATTTAAATCTCAAGTGGACCTGTAGGTGAAGTGATTGGCTGGTTAACTCAGATAGGGCAGATACTTGTGGGGCTTTTCACAATGTTTAAAACAGATCTATAGCAAAATGTTAAGCTATGAAGTTTTAAACCTTAAGTATGGTAATATATGTTGAGAATGTTGGTTATATATGTATTCTCAGGACATAAGCAGAGTTAGGAGATATCAGGTTGCAAAGACATTATAACAAGGTAGATTGGAGGGATGGGGGAGAGTGGCCATTGTATATAAAAACACCCTGGAGGCTACTAGGCACTCTGCTGTGGCAAAGCCGGGTCTGGACGCCCTCCACGTGTCAATAGGGGCTAGGGATGGTATTGGGATTTTGCTGGGCTACCGTGCTCCCCGCGACCCAGCCATCTCCCTATCAGAGCTGGTGGACTTTGTCTCCGCAGCACTGTTGGAGTCCCCAGGATTTCTGGTCCTGGGTGACTTCAACATCCATGCGGAGGCAGAGACTTCCAGTCCAGCTCTTGAGTTATTGGAAACCATGCCTTCTTTGAACATGTTCCACATGTTAACGGCCCCACCCACGTGGGTGGTCACACGTTAGACCTGGTTTTCTCCAACAACTGGAGTGAGAGTGGTCTTTTGTTGACTGACCTTTTGTCGGTCCCTTTGTCATGGATGGATCACCACCTAGTAAAATGTAACCTCTCAATGGCCCTCCCACCTCGCAGGGAGCAAGGACCCATTTTAATGGTCAGCCCTCAAAGGCTACTGGATCCTATAGGATTCCCTGTATTCCATGAGAGGGATTCCGGTTGAACTCGCTGACACTCCTGTCAAGGCTCTGGTTGATGGCTGGTTCACAGCAGCTACCAGGGCTGTAGGCACGATCGCTCCTAAATGCCCTCTCCAATACAGAGCTTGGCCAGCACCCTGGTTTAATCAGGAGCTATGAGCGAAGAAGCAAACTAGGAGAAGGCTAGAGTGCATTTGGAGTCAGAAACCGACGGATCACAATGGTAGCTGTTAGGGTAGCGACTAACCATTACCTTGCTAAGATAAGGGCTGCTAGTCGAGCTTACCTCGTTAACTGGATAAGCGAGGCTTCCAATCAGCAGGTGGAACGTTTTCGTATAGTCCGCGCCCTATCCGGAATTGGTTGAAGTGATGGGCCTCCCTCTAGTATCTCACCCGACCAATTTGCAGCATTTTAAAAATCTAAAGTGGAGGCCATCCGCCGGGAGCTTTTTCCTTTTTTGGATACAGTGAATTGAGCTGATGTCCAGCGCTCTGCCTTGCCCGATAAATTTCGATCTCTTTCAGCCTGTGACGCCAGATATTGTAGACAAAGCGCTTGACCGCTGCCAGGCTG